AGGCCTCTTGGGCCGTCTGGGAGGCCTCTGGGTGGCCTCTTGGGCCGTCTTGGGCCGTCTTGGACTCTCTTGGGCTGTCTTGGAGGCCGTCTTGGACCATCTTGGGCGGACTTGAAGGCCATATTGGACCATCTTGGAGACCATCTTGGGTTATCTTGGTCATCTTGGGCGCCATCTTGAGCCGTCTTGGAGGATTTATTCCGGACTTTGCGGTCCTGGAAGAGCCTCCCGGTACCCCGGCGGGACGGGCCGAAACCCACTGGGAGAGTTCTTTGGGGGAAAGAACCAAAACCAAAACCGATAAGGTCTGGCACGCCAGGCACCCCTGCGATGAATCGACAGGGGGCGGCGGACTCCCCCTGGCGCTTCGGCCCGTCCCGCCGCGTCCCGAAGGCCGCGTAAACCACCTCAGCGTCCACAACAAATCCTCCAAGACGGCTCGAGATGGCCTCCAAGATGGCCAAGATGGCCCTCAAGCTCGCCCAAGATGGTCCAAGATGGCCTCCAAGACGGCCCAAGAGGGTCCAAGATACCTCCAATTCCACCCAAGAAGTTTCCAAGACGGCCCGAGACGGCCCAAGAGGTCTCGAAGAGGTCCTTCAGGAGGGCCCGAAGAGGCCAACATCATTGATTTCCTCTAGGTTTTTGAAAAATTTTGGCATGTGCCTCCTCTCGGCATTCCGACGGCTCAAGACGGCCCAAGAGGACCCCAAGATCGCCCCCAAATCGCCCGAGGAGGAGGAGGAGGGGGAGGAGGAGGAGGAGGAGGAGAAGGAGGAGGAGGAGGGGGATGTTGCTTGGATTTTGCTTGCCGCTCAACTGTGCCGTGAGCATGAGAGCACAGCCGTCGATAATGAAGCCGCCTCTATTCCAGGCTTTTCCCTGGGCGAGAGGGCCTCCCAACACTTCGCAGCTGAAAAATCAACCACTGCGATTCTTGCGCCGAACGCTGGCCGCGCTCCAGCACGGCGTGGGCGCTCCGCGCCGCCGCGGTCACCTCCGGCCCAGCCCCAGCGGGGGAGTGGACCGCAGCGACGCTGTGAACCCCGGGGGGAGGAGAGAAGAGGAGAGGGAGAGGGGGGAGGAGGGAGGAACCAGGAGAAAGGAGGAAGGAAGGGGCACAGTCCCACCGCGGCCAACCCCTTTCCCCCGGGGGGGCGGCCCCTCCCGCCTCCGTCAGTCCTCCGGCTGGTCGCCGGCTCCACTTCTACCCCGCCGATACAGGCGGCGCCGACCGCCCACCAGCTCCGCTGGCGGGGGTGCCCCGGCTATCCCCGAGTCGATGACGGGGCCCCTGCTATCCAAGCAGGGGGAGGAGTAGGAGTAGGAGTAGGAGTAGGAGTAGGAGTAGGAGTAGGAGTCAAGCTAGCCAGCTCGAGCGAGTCAAGCATGGCACGCCCAGTCCCACCCGCCCTCCCACAACATAAGAAGCAAAGCTGGCACAACTGGGGGCCGAAGTCACACCGGCCAGCCGGTTTGGTACAGCTGATGCGGCCGCGATGGCGGTTGCCGACGGGAACTGGCGAGCGCGTGTTGAATGCCGCGCACGCATTGCCAGACGAGTCGAGAATGGCCCGGTACACCGCAGGAAGCCAGAGGTGGCCGGAGGAAGCCCGACGGTCTGACAGGACACCCCAAAGCATTTTTGTGAAAAAGCATTGGGTTTTTGATGTTTTTATGTTGAAATGCTTGCAAACACACGGTGTTCGGTAGGATTCTGACATGAACGCGCGAGTGTGCTCTTTGTGGTATTTTTTGCACAGGATTCGCGGCCTGGGTGCATGACAGAGCATCGCGAGTGCACCGCGCGATGACGTGAAATCGCTGGATTTGACCGAATTCTTAAGATTCCTATGGTTTTCCTATGATTTCAGCAAGAGAGCCCGGGCAGGAAATTTGTAGAATTTTTGTGAAAAAAACATTGGGTTTTTGATGTTTTTATGTTGAAATGCTTGCAAACACACGGTGTTCGGTAGGATTATGACATGAACGCGCGCGTGTGCTCTTTGTGGTATTTTCTGCAATGGATTATCGCCGTGGACGACAGGACGTCCATGTCGAGAGGGAAAAATAAGAAACATGTTGATTTTGTATTGTTTTTTACAAGTTAGGATGGGACCCCCCGGATGCGGCCCCTAATGGCCGGCCTGAGGGGGGAGTAGGAGTATATTCTAATAAGGAATAAGGATAGGAGGAGGAGGAGAGAGGAGGAGGAGGAGGAGAGGAGGAGGAGGAGGAGGAGGAGAGGAGGAGGAGTGAGGAGGAGGAGGAGGGAGGAGGAGGAGGAGGAGCAGGAGGAGCAAGGTTCGGTGGCAACTCCGGGGAGCACGCGCTCCCCGTGGCGGGGGGGGAGCCCACGCGCTCCCCCGTGGCGCCGGCGGCGCCACAAATGGGGGCGGGCAGACCGCCGCGGCCGAGCCCGCGCGGCAGACGGGGAGGGACGACCACCCCGCGCCCACGCGCTCCGTGCGCGCCCCCCGCGAGGAGCCGGGTCAGGTTCGTGTCGTTCGTTTTGCAGTCTCCAGCGCGGGCTCCTCCTCCTCCTCCTCCTCCTCCTCCTCCTCCTCCTCCTCCTCCTCCTCCTCCTCCTCCTCCCCTCCCTCCTCCCCCTCCTCCTCCCTCCTCCCTCCCCCTCCTCCTCCTCCTCCTCCTCCTCCTCCTCCTCCCCTCCTCCCTCCTCGCTCCTCCGCCTCCTCCTCCTGCTGCCTCCTCCTCCTCCGCCTCCTCCTCCTCCTCCTCCTCCTCCTCCTCCGCCCTCCTCCTCCTCCTCCTCCTCCTCCTCCTCCTCTCCTCCTCCTCCCCTCCTCCTCCCTCCCTCCTCCTCCCTCCTCCTCCTCCTCCTCCTCCCCCCTCCTCCTCCTCCTCCTCCTCCCTCCTCCTCCTCCTCCTCCCCCCCCTCCGCCTCCTCCTCCTCCTCCTCCTCCATCCTCCTCCTCCTCCTCCTCCTCCCCTCCTCCTCCTCCTCCTCCTCCCCCTCCCCCACTCCTCCTCCTCCTCCTCCTCCTCCTCTCCTCCTCCTCCTCCTCCTCCTCCTCCTCGACCTGGTAGCACGCGGGCGCAGCGCGCGCCTCGCATCTGCGGCGCGGCTCAGTGCGACACGCGGGCGCGGCTCGTGTCGTGTCGTGCCGACTTCGGCGTTGGTTTCTGACACCCGCGGGGATCGTTCAGCCTTGAACGATCGGTCGTTTCCGAGACGTCCACATCGTTCCACATCGAACGATTCTGGGTCGCCCGCGGCGTTCCACGTTGAACGCCGCTGGCGAAATCGCCGCCAATCGACACGACATGAGCCTACCGTATCCGGGTGCGGAGATGCCCATCGATATGCCCATCATCTCCTGCAGCCGCCCTCTGCGAGTGCCCCAGCGTGCGCACATCTGAGCGCGAGCACGGCAGAGTGTTTGAAAGTCGGAGCGTGAGCGCTCCTCGCTGCGTCTCCTTTCCGAGGTGCAAGACCGACGCCTCGCTCGAGTCCTCCACAAACTCTGGGCGCGACCGGGCGAGTGCAGCACCTCCTGGCGGTTGGGACCCGGGGTGCCCGAGGATGCCTGCTGCATCGCGGTGGTGATGGGGGCCTGGAGAAAAGAGGGTGCTACGTCGTTGTGGCAGTGGTGGTCTGAAAGCAAAAGGGGACTGGGGACCAGCGAACGCCGCGCTCGAAACATCCCCACAATCTGGGCGCGAACGGCAAAATGCGGTAGACCCTGTCGGCTCCCCCCTGGGGAGCTGGAGAACTGTGCCAAAGGAGGGCCTCGTGGGCTCGTCCCGAGATGGAGGAAGAGGAGGTGGAGGAGGACGAAGAGGAGGGCGCAGGAGGAGGGGGAGGGGCAGGACGGGAAGGGGACGGGGGGGGGAATCGAGGAAACCTGCTCCAAGGTGGCCTCAGGAGGCCCTCCAGGGCTACATCGCGGTGGCCAATGGGGTCTGAAAGGCACGGCGTTCAGGGGGGGGCACACGGACGCCATGCTCGAGATCTCCCTACAGTGTGGGCGCGGACGGGGAAACTAAGGATCCACCCTCCTCCTCCTCCTCCTCCTCCTCCTCCTCCTCCTCCTCCTCCTCCTCCTCCTCCTCCTCCTCCTCTACTCCCCCTCCCCCTCCCCCATTCCCCTCCTCCTTCCCCTTCCCCTCAGATCCCCTCCTCCTCCTCGGCGGAGAGGAGCTTGAGGGGAGGAGGAGGAGGAGTGAGAGGAGGAGGAGGAGGAGGAGAGGAGAGGAGGGAGGAGAGGAGGAGAGGAGGATGAGGAGGAGGAGGAAGAGGAGGAGGATAGGAGGGGGGGAGGAGGAGGAGAGGAGAGGAGGGAGGAGGAGGAGGGGAGAGGAGGGAAGGAGGCAAGGAGGAGGAGAGGAGGAGGAGAGGGAGGTGGAGAGAAGAGGAGAGAGGGGAGGGGAGGACAGGGAGGAGGACGAGGAGACGGACGGCGGGGGAGGTAGGTCGGACGGCGGCGGAGGATGTTCAAGCTGATGCGGATGCGGATCGCGGATTCGAATTGCGGGCGAGGGAGGGAAGAGAGGAGGAGGAGAGGTACAGAGGAGAGGAGCGGAGGAGGCTGCTGAATTGGCGCGTCGGCGTGATTCGGGGTCGGCGGAGGAGCGGGGGGAGGAGGAGGAGTAAACAAGTGTACGATGCCCAACAACAGATGCTGTCTGAAATCAACGGCGGCCGCGGTTGGGCAGGCGGCCTTCTCTCCCTGTCTCGGACGGGCAGCGTCCACGGCGACACCGACAACGACTCCTGTTTAACTGTAATAGGGGATGCTGTCGGTCTTCGTCCTCTTATCGATCGCACCGAATTTAACGGGCGAAGAACGGTATACAGTAAAACTGTTCCGCTGTCCCAGGGCGGCTGGAAAATTTAAACCTTGACGTGGCACCGCAGGGGTATATAAACTGTCCAGCCGCCCTGGGACAAGCGCCCCCGGCAGCGAAACCAATCATTGTATACCGTGCTTCGCCCGTTAACGAATCGGGGGCGCGCAGCCCGCATGCGCTGCTGGCGCCTCCCAGCCGAGCGGCGGCGGCAACTGCTGCGGCGCGCGGGCGCCGTCGCCCGGCGGGGCCGCGGCGAACGGCGGCGGCGGGGCAACTCCCGCCTGTGCCGCCCCCGCGCCCCCGGCCCTTCCAGGAGGAGGGGCGGGAGGGAAAGGGGGGGGGGAGGAGGATAAAGAATACGATGGGGGGCGAGGAGGAGGAGGAGGAGGAGGAGGAGGAGGAGGAGGAGGAGGAGGAGGAGGAGGAGGAGGAGGAGGAGGAATAATCCCCCCCCATGAAAGGGCGGGCAGGACAACGAGGAGAATGTGGGACGAGGAAGCGGATGAGGAGAAGTAGGGGAAGGAGGAGGAAGAGGAGGAGATGGCGGAGGAGGAGGCGGAGGAGGAAATACTCCCCCGTCTGGAAGGGCGAAGATGACGAAGATGAGGAGGATCTTGCACTATTTCCAAAAAGGCCAGGATTATTCTCGCAGCGGTGCCACTTCAGCTTGCAGCACCGTGGAGGGTCAACGGATAAAGCTAGCTCGCGCGAGCTTGCACACATTTCCGCAGTATGACGGGAATGAATGCTGGGGCACGCAGTGGGCTGGCTTAGTGCACGAAGTCAACCGCTCGAGCCGCAGGGCGACCACGGGTGGAAGTACACATATATACATATATATACATATATACACATAAGACTGCAGTGGCGCTTCGCGCCATGCACCTTGGTCCTTGAAGATTGGTATGCAGGCGGAAATTGCAGGAAGGCCAAGCGGACAATTTAGCGATAACTCCTTGCTGCCTTTTCTGGCATCGCCATTATGGTAATGTTGTTCGTTATCTTTCCTCCATGCTTGCTGTTCCTCATTCTCGCCATACCCTGGGCATTCCGCTCATCCTCCTCAGCTCTTTTTGCGGAGGCTCCTCCTTGGAGAGCCTCTGGGGGCCTCACCAAAATTCTCAGGTTTTCTAAAGCCTTCTGGAGGCCTCCTGGGCGTGTTCTGGGGGCCTCTGGGGCTTCCTAAGGCCAACCTGCCTCTAACCGCGGTCTCCCTGAACGCCCGGGTCAAGATTTGGAATGCTTCGGAGGGTGTCTTGGGGCCATCTTGGGCCGCCATGTGGCTCTCTTAGGGCCATTTCGGACCCCTGTTGAGCCGTTTTGGGGTTCTCTTGGACTGCCTTGAAACCCTTTCGGATGATTGCGGGGCGACTTTGGAGCCTCCCAGGCGACTTCGGACGCCCAGAGGACCGCTGTCTTGGAGCGTCGGCAAGCCGAAAAGAGGAGAACCCCAAATTCACCAAAAAACCTATATTAAATCAATTAGTTTTCCCTCTTGGGGCTTTCTTGGGGGTGCTCTTGGAGGCCTCTTGGTACGTTTTGGAGCGATCTTTCGGGTATGACGGCTTCTTGGAGCGTTCTTGTGCTATCTTGGGGTTCTCTGGGACGTCTCCGATGACCCCCCTGATCGCCCTAGGTGTGCTGCGAAGGCTTGGCAAAACGCCCTGCGAGGTCCTGGGGGCCGCTTCGAGGCCAAGCCCCAGATCCCGGGAGTCCGGATTTTTTTTTGGGGGGGGACGGGTTTCCCCCCGCCCGGGCTTGTAAAAATATAAGAGGAATGCACACCAAATTGCGCCTTTGCCCGCTCACACTAGTTTTTTCTCAAGGGCTGCTACATGCACTATTTCAGAAACGGACCAGGACTGTTGTTTCAGCGGTGCCACGCTAGCGTACAACACCGTCGAGAACCAACCGACAGAACTAGCTCGCGCGAACTTTCCAACAACCACCAATATCTGCGACCTGGCGGTTAAAGCGACATTGCCCCATTTACCGAGAGAGCTCTGGATACACGAGGACCCCGCGCAGACCAGGCGGGCAGGGTAAGGTTCAGCAGCGAGAGTCTAGACCTTGCCCTCAAGAGTCTTTCCCTCGAAGACCTGATGTCGCCCACCTGAGAACTTACAATGCGAACCGGCGCATTGCGCCGCCAGCGGCGCTACAAAACCACGAGTGTCGTCCCAGCACGCCAGCGTTGTTTCTTGCCGCCATCGCGTTCCGAATGAGTACAGCATGTGTGACGGAGGCATTCTGGGGCAGCTTAGACATCTCCGCCTGTCTCCATAGCCAAGAGGGCCTGGATCCCCCAGAAGCGCAGTGCAATTCAGCTCAGGACAGGCACTGATGATTCAGACTGGCGCCCGCGCTAGCACATTGCCCCGCCTGACCTTCTCAGCGTCGAGCTCGGGCAAATCTGGGAGCATGAGATCCAGGACGGAGCAGACGGTCCCTTCGATGGTGAGATCCTGGCCAGGCGAGCCCCGGAGGCCCCGAGCCCTGGTGGGCCGCCCTCTGGAGCGCACGGCCTTCGCCGAGCCTTTGCTTCCCGCCGAGAGCTCCAGACCAACAGAGGGCTCAGAAGGGAGGGCAATCTGCACGGTTTCCCCCGGGGCCGTAGGCGACCCGAGTAGGAGATGGAGGAGGAGGAGGAGGAGGAGGAGGAGGAGGAGGAGGAGGAGTGGGAGGATGCGGAGGAGGAAGGAGGAGGCGGAGGAGGAGGAGGAGGCGGAGGAGGAGGCGGAGGAGGAGGATGCGGAGGAGGAGGATGCGGAGGAGGAGGAGGATGCGGAGGAGGAGGAGGAGGAGGAGGAGGAGGAGGAGGAGGAGGAGGAGGAGGAGGAGGAGGAGAAGGGAAGAGGAGGATGATGAGGAGGACGGGTCGCCTAAGCCCTTCGGAGAAACCCTCCAGGGGGGATCTCGGCAGGGTCTGCGGAAACCAGCCCCCCCGGGGCCGCTGCGCAAAGCTACCTGCGTGCCGCCCCGCGAGGGCGCGCTCGCGCATCGCCTCGGACTCGGCCAGGCGCAGCTGCTTCCCGCGGCCGAGCGACGCGAGTTCGGGTATCGCGCGCGAGCCCGTCCTGTAGCGTTAAGTCGGGCGTGTCACTCTACAGGAGGAATCTTCAAAAGTGATAAAATAGTCTGGGGACGATTTTTGGAGTACATATGTTTTTTTGAGGGGGGGCTTTTTTGGGGCTTTCAAAACATATTTTGAATTTTCCGCCCAAAACTCGCCTGTAGGGGGACATGCCTGACCTAACTGTAGCGCCTGACGCTGAGGCCCCATGCCCAACTGCCACTGCGCACAAGCAGGCGACAAACTCCAGCAACGTCTGCGTCTTGGTGAACCAATCGTGAGAAGGCCCCGCGTGGCGCAAGATGTGGGGCGCCATCTCCCGCGTCTTCAGGCCGGCCTTGGCGGCCGCCTCCGAACGCGGCGTTGAAGACCGCGCCCGGCCACGAAGAGAGGAGCTGCGTCGGGGCTAGCTCGCGCGCGGCCCGCCCCGCAAACCGTCCCGCGCACCCCGCGGGCGAACTGTCGGGGAGGATCGAGTCGTTGAAGCCCCTGGTCTTGGTCGCCCGCAGCTCCTCCTCTGGCCGCGCCCCCCTCACCCTCCTCCGCGACAACAGCAGCTCCGTGTGCTCGACGAGCGCCTCCTCCCAGCCGCCGTCAGTCGCCGCCGCGCGGCCTTGCGGAAAGTGCCGAACCGACCTGGCCTCCTCGCGCAGTCTCGGGTCTGTCCCCCGACAGGCGGATTTCGGGCGAGAAATCAAAAGTAGCCAAAACATATTCAAACATAGTCAAACAATTGCAGAAAGATCGCCCCTGGAGTATTCTCTTGATACTATTCTTGAATCTTCCTCCTGTAGAGGGGCGCGCCCGACCCAAGCGCAGTCTTGCTGAGCCCTCAGGCCGCCTTTCCCTCCTGCTCCGCAGGGGGGTCGCGGGCCAAGCCGGCCCCGACCCCGCGCCCCCGCGCCGCGCCCCCCGTCTGCGCGCCCGGCGGCGTCTGCGGGCGGGCGCTCTGGGGCGCGCGGTGTCAGCGACGCCTCGCTGACGAACCTCAAGGATCCCCGACTTATCCAGCTTCTCCCGCTTCGAGCTGAACGTCTCGCAGCTCTGACGAGACATGATCTGATGAATCGCGGTCCGAGCTTCTCCCGCTTCGTCTTATCGCGGGCGACCAAGAGGGGGAGTCGAAGGCCGCGGCGGCACCGTCGAGGACATCTGGGCCAGTCCCGCCGTGCACGTGATGGTCTGGCGCGGCGCGGCCCTCGGCCGCATGGCCTGGGGCGCGGGCGAGGGCCGCTCCGCCGCGGCGTCCCCTCGGCCCGACAGAGGGCCCCAATTTGGCCATTTTGTGGGAATGCTTGGGCTGGTCATCTCCTGAATTTGAGCGGTCCCCTTGTCTTCGATCCGCTAATGGTTTTTCACATCTAGTTCCAAAAGACTATTCCCCTGTAATCGTTTCTGGATAGCCTGGCGGGAACTTGCGCCGCGTCACGTGAAGAAATTTTGCCATGGCCACCGACCACCCCAAACACTCCAAACACGTGTACGGATGCTGATGCTGGTGGCAAGATGTCGAACCTTTGGATTGATCGTTCCGCGTGCGCGTGCAGGCGTGCAGGAGAGATTATGAAATGAGAGGCAGAGAGCCGAGAATGTGCGATAGGTCAATGTCCATCGCCGAATTACCACATGCTGCGGGGAGCTGCGCATTTTCGGTCTTGCTCGTCCTAGCCCGTATCGTCCTCCTCCATCCCTCCCCCTTCCCAATACTCATCCTCCACCACCGACGACACCGACGACGTGAACGACGACGACAAGGGCAGCGGCACTAGTGGTGACGCGCGGCGGCCTGCGTGGGAGCCGCCTGGCTTGCGAAGACCCCGGCAAGCTGCGACTCGTAGGCCTTGCGAGGGGGATCGCCTTCGCTCGGCTGGTCGCGAGACTTGGTAACCCTCGATCGAGCCGCGGCGGTTGGATGGGGAGATAGCAATGAGGGGAGGAGTGGGGGGATATAGTGGGGAGGACGAGGAGAAGGAGCATGCAGGATGATACATCGGGGAAATGAGGATCAAAGGAGTACGAGGAGGAGGAGGAGGGGGAGGAAGGGATGAAGGGGAGGCAGAGGAAAGATACCAAGAGGGTAGGGAGAGGAAGACGAAGAGAAAGAGTGAGTGGGGGGAGAAAGGGAAAACACATCATGAGAAACAGTAATAAGGATGGAGGATACGGATGGGGAGCAATTCGTGAAATCTAGCTGTCTCCCCAGTGCCCCAGTGCCACCATCCTGGGGAACACACAAGGGATGGACTGGATTCGAGCATCGTCCCCCTCCCCTCTCTCTCTCTTCTCCTCTCCCTTCCTCCATCGCTCTCTCTCTCTCTCTCTCTCTTCTCACCTCACTGCATCCCTTGCTCCTCCTCTTTGCCTTTCTTTCCCTGATCTCCTCCTCCTCCTCCTCCTGTAAATCCTCCCTCCCCCACAACGCCTCAATATCCCGGGGCGTTCCACCCGCGTCTCCCCCTCCGAGGCCTGCCCTCACGTAGGCAGCCGGCCGCCTCCTCCTCCTCCTCCTCCAACTCCTCCTCCCTCTTCCCTTCCTCCTCCTCCTCCTCCTCCTCCTCCTCCTCCTTCTCCGCTCCTCCCCTCCTCCCTCCCCCCCCTCCCCCTCCAACTCCTTCCTCTCCTCCTCCTCCTCCTCCTCCTCCTCCAACTCCTCCTCCTCCTCCGCCTCCAATTCCTCTTCCTCCCACTTTTGTGATACTGCTGTTTCTGCTGCAGCGCCTCATCCTGCTGCTCCTCCTCCCCCGCCCTCCCCCCTCAACGCGAGGCGGAAGGCAGGGAGGAGGACGACGACAAGGCGAGGGCCACGGGCAGGGGAGGAGGGGAAGAGGCGGAGGGTGGAGGGAGGATACACCGAGGAGAGGACACGAGGGGAGGAGGAAGAGGAGGCTTTCCCACTCTCCCTTTCTCCTCCTAATGCTGCTCCTCCTCTTGCCCCTGATCCTCATCCTGATCCCCCTGCCGCCCTGCCACCGCTCCCCCCATCCTCCCACGCATTTCATCCTCCTCCTCCTCCTGATCCTCCTCCTTCTTCTCCCCCACGTCCTCATCCTCCGCCTCCTCCAGTCGTGCACTCCAGCCGCGTCGCGATTGTATTGCTGTGCAATTGTATCTAGAAGCAAATATTTGAACGGTGCAAGAGTGGTCCACCATGCATTGGCTGCGCTCTATGAACCACATGCGCCAAGTACATGCTCTTCATGTTCGTAGTTGCAACTGGGTTCGCCATCGGATGTATCTACGCAACACCCCCCACATCTATGTGGCACCCGCACGGAACGCTGCAGGAAAGAAGCCGCAAACTTGGCACACGAGTTCGGCCCGGCCAAGGCTGAAGACCGCGCCCGCCAGCAGTTGCGGCCGCGGTTCCGTGTGCGATCGCTGACAGTTCAACGGCGCCTGGCGGCGACGCCTTCAACTGGCGGCGACGAATCACATACAGAAAAAGCAAAACCACCTACGGCGCGCGGCGCCGTTTTGTTTCCACCTTGGGGTGCTTATGGTTCCTCGCGTGGCCCTGCTCTTTTGCCGCGTTCGGGTGCTTGGAGCTTTTCGTTTCCCTCGTCGCCGCGCCCTTTTGTATCCACTTTGAGGGCGTTTGTCAGATTGAGTCCTACATGCTCTTTGCGCACTGCAAATGTTTCAACATATTGGTTTGTGTTGAACGGTCCTGTGTGTAGCCGCCTCATGCTTCCAAATGGTTGGGCACGTCCCCGGATGATTGATGTCGTCGGTGAAGGCTTAGAGAACTTTTCAAAAATATGGGGGACTTCCCAACCTTCTGAAAAAAAAACCCGCCCCGTCTCAGTTTCCACCCCGGCTCGCCGCCGACGGGAGGAAGACGCAGGACGCAGGAGGAAAGGAACGACGCAAGACGGAGGAAGAAAGGACGGCGACAACACCCAGTGGGCATCCAGACGAAGAGACACGTGTCAGCGGTATACGGGTCAGATGAGTGCGGCGAACACGATGCTTTCACTTGGGCCAGTCTCGACGTATTTCTGTCACGGCATGTGTGTGAGGTGGGCGGTCAAGAATCCGAATCGGCAGTGGCTTTCTGGTGAGCGCTCCAAGCCAGAGAAACAACGATTGCCGTATCCTTTGGGCGGCTCCGGGGCATCATCCTTGAACAAATGGCGTTCTGCATGGACGTTTTGCTTGGCCCAGGAGTGACGATCTTCGCAATGATACGTAAAGGTGTGCGGTGAGCTCTTGCATGTGGGCTATCCCACGGCACTTTTGCGGGGTGCAGCGCGCAGCACTCCGCCGTGAGCCGCAGCCGTTTGTGTTCGACGGGTGCTTTGGGACTGCTGTTAGGTCGGGCATGTCCTCCTCCAGGCGGATTTTGGAAGAGAAATGAGAAATAGTCAAAAAGTACTCACACGTGGTGAAACGTTGTCGACCAATCGTCCCTGACTATTCTTTGACTATTTTGAATATTCCTCCTGTCGAGGGACGTGCCCGACTGAAGTCCACTGCCGCGTAGCGAAGGGCGGGAGACGGCCGCCTCTCCAGCCGAGTCCGCGCCGCCGCCCGCCAGAGGAGTGGCGCGAAACGACCGCGGCTGGGGCCGTCGTTGCTCACCAGCCTCCCCCCTCCTCCTCCTCCTCCTCCTCCGCCTCCTCCTCCGCCTCCGCCTCCGCCTCCTCCTCCTCCGCCTCCGCCTCTGCCTCCGCTTCCGCCTCCGCCTCCGCATCCCCCTCCTCCTCCGCCTCCTCCTCCGCCTCCGCTCCACCTTCCTCCGCCCTCCTCCTCCGCCTCCCTCCGCCTCCTCCCGCCTCCTCCTCCTCCTCCTCATCCTCCTCCGCCGCCTTCCTCCTCCTCCTCTCCTCCTCCTCCTCCTCTTCCTCCTCCTCCTCCTCCTCCTCCTCCTCCTCCTCCTCCCTTCTCCTCCTTTCCTCCTCCTCCCCTCCTCCGCCTCCTCCTCCTCCTCCTCCTCCTCCTCCTCCCACTCCAGAGACACAGGAAAAATGAGAACGAAGAAGGCCTGACGCTTGCTTTCGGCGGTGGACAAGCCTCCCTTAAGTAAGCCGCCCTTCGGTGAAGACGGCCTAGGACCAAAACCGACGGACCTGGAACCGCAAAAATGACGGCCGCGACGCCCTCTCGCGAACCGAAAACGGCCAATTCGCTAATTGACGTGTCAAGGTAGGAGGTCTATCAACCTCCGATGCTTGAACGTGAGTCAGAAGCGGCGTCCATTTTCCAAGAGCAGGGGCGTGAACTTGCCGACTGTCTCCAGCCGCGCTTCGATGCCGTGCTCAGTCAGGTCAGCACAAGCGGCTCGACGGCAACACCTGGGCCCATGGCGTGCCCAACTCCGAGCTTTGCCGCACTTGCCTTCCCGCAGAGGGCTACGGAGATGCAACTCTCTCAGCTCAAAGGGCTCGTGCGCGACATGGTTCCGAAGACAAGCGAGGCGGTGCCCAAGCCGGGCGAGACTAAAGATCCAGAGAAGTTGAGCCGGGTCCCGATGGGGGTGCTCTGCAAGATCACGAAGGGCCACATCAAGACCGACGAGCGGTCGAAGTCCGTCCTCATGCCGATCTTGACGGAGACCACGTGGTAGGCTCACGTCGGCACAAAAGCATCCAATAATGGATGGAGGACCGGGTGGAGAAGATTCCGCATAAGCAAGCACCAAGAGCACAGCGTTTGTGGACCGTGCTTAAGGAGGATCGCTGAGATGGTGCAGTGATGATGTTATCGCGTGTGTACCCCTCGAAGGAACAACTCGGGGCATCGTCTTCATGTAAGGTCCGCCCTGCTGCGCGTGTATACTCTTCCTCCTCATGGTCATCATCTTCGTCCCCTTATCAGAGGGCGCGCCGCTGGATCACCCAAAGGGGGGGGGGGTCGGAACCGCATGTGGGCCCAATCCCAACCCACTGGGCCCAATCCCAACCAACTGGGACCAATCCCAACCAGTGCGAAAAGCAAACTGGGCCCAATCCCAACCACCTTGGGATAGCCCCACAATAGGATGTTAATTGTAGAGAAACCCAAGACGACTGCGAATACCAAGTGACACCCCTTATGTCAACGCAGAGGATCTGGGAGCCAACATGCGCGCTCGAGTTGGAATTGGTTTCACTTTTTGGTCTGCGCACGAGCACTACGTTAAGATGAGCAAGAGGGCACCGAAGCGTAAACAACAACGCACCGAATTGCATCGATTCTAAAATATGCAAATGGATCATCCTAGTACCAGTAGTAGTAGTAGAAGTAGTAGTAGTAGTAGTAGTAGTAGTAG